GTAGTTCCACTGCCAGCCTTGCAAGTACAAGGACCCGAGTTCGATTTCCAGTAGCAAAAAAAAAAGAAAGACAGACAGACAGACAGAAAGATAGAAAGAAAAGACAAGACAGGATGAGGATGTACCCTCAGTAGTACAGCACTTGCCTGGTATGTGTAAGGCCCTGGATTCAATCCCTAGTACTGCTAGTACTGCCCAGCCCCCCCACCAAATACACTTTCAAATATAAAAATCTAGGGCCAGGGATGTAGCTCAGTGGCACAGCATCTGTCTGGCAAGTGTGAGGTTCTGAGTTTGATTCCTGGTACTAAAAAAAATACACATTTCACAATAAATGAATCGATTCAACACAAAGATGTAACAATTGTTAGATGAAGGGTCAAGAATGTAACTCAGTGGCACCGTGCCTGCCTAGCAAGTGCAAGGTCTTGAGTTCGATCCCTGGTACTGACAAAAAAAAACTATTGTTAGATAGATAAACGTGGAGGTGCACACCTGTCATCCCAGCTACTGAAGAGGCTGAGGGAGAAGGACCCCAAGTTAGATGTTAACATTAGCAAGACCTTGTCTCAAAATAAAAAATGGCTGGGGATTACCGGGCACAGTGGTGCACACCTATAATCTCAGCACTCAAGAGGCCGAGGCAGAAGGACCACTGACAAGTTCAAGGCCAGCCTGTGCTACATAGTGAGTTCAAGGTCATCCTGAACTACACAGCAAGACCCTGTGTCAAAAATAAAACAAAACAACAAAAAAAAATGGCTAGGGATATACTTCAGCACTCTGAGGGGAGGAAGGAGGGAAGGACGGAAGGAAGGAAGGAAAAAAGAAGCCTACCCATTGGAATAAAGAGTCCACCATCCTCTCTCTCTTCCTCGGCTTGGTGAGCCAGAGTTCTGAGTGGCTTTTCTCGAGGGGAGGCACAAACATCTGGCTGGGATGGTTTCCTAGGCTGGCTGCCTGATGGCAATAAAGGTGTCTCCCCTCCAGAATGCATTTGAGGTTTTCCCAGAAGAATCACAAATATTGCTCCACACTGCTCATTCTCACATCATACTCTGCTGTGGAAATCAGCATCCTGTCATAAAGACTTCTTAGTTGACAGCTCCATGAATGCAGTATACTATATATACAGGCACTGCCTTCTCCTAAAGACAGGATCCTAAGGAACATACTAAAATAAAAGTGTGGATCAAAATCAATCATCATAAAGCCAGGGAGTTGGACTAGATAACTCCTAAGGTCTTTATAATTCTAATATGCTTTGTGCTTTCCATTCTTTCTAATAGAAAAATCAATTTCAGCCACCGTGGTACATATCTGTAATCCCAGCTACGTGAGAGGCTGAAGCAGGGGGATCACAGGTCTGAGGCCACCCTAGGTAACACAGTGAGACCCTGTCTCAAAAAACAAAAAGAGGGCCAGGTGAGTTCGATCCCCAGTACCCTCCCAAAAATGATATAATTTACTGGGGCCGGGAATTTAGCTCAGTGGTTCTGCCGCCCACCTTGCAAACACAAGGACCTGAGTTCGATCCCCATACCAAAAAAAAAAAAAAAAAAAAAAAAAAAAAAAAAAAAAAAAAAAAAAAAAAAAAAAGAGGGCCAGGGATTTAGCTCAGTGGTGCTGTGCCTGGATTTGATCCCCGGTACCAAACAGAAAAGGGGGGGTGGCCTATATAGCTGAGTAGTACAGCATTTGTCTTGCATGTTTAATATCCAGCCTCAAACATACACATATATATATATGATCTATGCACATATACATACATACACATATATACATCTATATTTCACTGGTGCCTTCGTCCCTGCCTAACCCAATGTGACATTCTTGACCAAAAAACTCTTTTAAGATCATCAGGCTTACTGCTACCTGTCTCGCAAGCGCAAGGACCCAAGTTCAATCCCCGGTACCAAAAAAAAAAAACAAAAACAAAACCAAAAAAAGATCACCAGACTTAAAAAAACAAAACAAAACAAAACAAAAAAACAGACTTTTTAGCTAGGTCTGGTGGTACACACCTGTAATCCTAGCACTCAGGAGGCTGAGCAAGGAGGATCACTGCAAGTTTGAGACCAGCATGGGCTTCATAGTGAATTCAAGGCCAGCCTGAACTACACAGCAAGACCCTGTCTCAAAAAAACCAAAACAAAATAAAACAAAGATCACCAGACTTTGAATGTAGTCTTCTCAGACATCACTATCTTCCTCTCTCCTTTGTCAAATTTTCCAAGGGGTGCTGAGGATCAAACCCAGGGCCTCTCTCACACTAGGCAAATGCTCTACCACTAATCTGCATCTCCAGTCCTTGCCAATAAATTTGAAAGTACTGTGTTCTTCAAACTCTCCTACTTTGGGCCGGGGATTTAGCTCAGTGGTTCTGGCACCTGCCTTGCAAGCGCAAGGACTCGAGTTCTATCCCTGGTACCAAAACAAACAAACAATCAAACAAAAAAAACACTCTCCTACTTCCTTTGACTTTTACTACTACTCCTTTAGTCATTTTGCTTACCCAAGGTTGTCTTCAATCTGCTACTCCGCACCCTAAACACAAGTGCTCCCAAAAGGACAAGCTACTCAGGACAAGGCCATAGCTACAGAGCCCTGTGTGATGACAAGGACTGATTCTATAGGAGGCCATTTCCCTAAAGAACTTCCACCTCTGACCGCATCCTTCGAACAACATATCTACTATCCCACCAGTTTTCACACACAGTAGTCAATAACACGAAATTCTCCCGTATAAACACAAAACACTGTCAGTACTGAACCAGTACAGTAATTGTGGGAAAATCCCAGAAAGACGATGTACCAGAAAGACAAACCAGGGGCGGGGATGTAGCTCAGTGGTTCCGCCCCCTACCCCGGAAGTGCAAGGTCCCAAGTTCAATCCCCAGTACCAAAAAAAAACCAAAAAAGCCATAGGCAGAAGGACAAAACATGACCAACTGCTTAAAAGACAGCAAAATAGGCATCCTAAAAATAACTCAAAATGAAAAGGGCCAGGGATTTAGCCCAGTGGCACCCCACCTGCCTCACAAGCATAAGGTCTTGAGTTCAATCCCCGGTACTAAACCAAAAAAATAAAAATGAAGAAGCCAGTCCAATATATTCTGCTTGGGCAGTTAAAATGTCTATCACCTATTGACATCAGCTGCCTGCCTTGCAAGTGCCAGGTCCTGAGTTTAATCCCTGGTACCAAAAAAAAAAAAAAAACAAAAAAAAACCTACCAACAGGAAAGAAGTTCAAACACCTTAGTATGAAAAACAATGTCTTCCACTACTCCAAAGTCTTCCCCCACAACTTCCAAGCCACTCAGTCATCATCCCCTCTTCCTGTGTACCTCTACTCAGTGTTCCTAACCTTGCCACAGCACCACCATTCCGTCAAACCACAACGTAGCCTTCAGGTCCTGTGTGTCCATCTCTCTACAGCCTTTCACGTGAAATCTGTGAATCTTTCATGTGAAATCTGCTTTCAGCAGTCCTAGGGACTTCACACTGAGCTACCACCCCCATCGGCTCTTTTTTTAAGACACAGTCTCACTAAATTGCTAAACTGCCTAGGCTGGGCTCGAACTTGTAATCCTTCCTGACTCAGCCTCCCAGAGTGCTGGGACCATAGACACCACTATAGGCTCAGTCCTTTCCCCTTTAAAAATTTCTGGCTGCCCCTGCTACAAGCTTTATTCCATGGATACCTACCAAATCACTAATAAAGCTCAGAATAAAGGATTAAAGTAAAGGAGGGATACAGAGGGCTCGGGGAGTGGGTGCGGAAGAGTCTCTCTCCATTCAGGAAGCTCATGATGCTGCCTGATGAGCCCCAAGGCTCCAACTCCACACGAAATCCATACTCCCTCACAGAAGCGCTCCTCACAAGGGCGTTACAGGAAAGCAGTGACAACGCAACACAGGCTGAGTATCCCTGAGAGGATCCTTATCTGAATGGGTCCAGGGAGTTTTGCATTTCAAGTGCTTTTCAATCCTGGAATCTGTACGCATGTCAGTAAGATATCTCAGAGATAGGACTTATATCTAAACACCAGATTCACTTATTTTTCATATACACCTTGCACATGTGTCCTGAAGATTTTTTTGTGAGTGGTACTAGAGATTAAACACAGCCTTCACCCTGAGCTATATCCTCAGCCCTTTATTATTTTATCCCCCACCCCAGCACCGGGGATCAAACTCAGGACCTTGTGCTTGCCAAGCAGGCGCAGCACAACTGAGCTACATCCCTGGCCCTTCGATTTATTTCTATAGTTATTTCTTTTCAGCTTTTTAAGAACCTCTCCACACAGCTCAAGCTGAACTCAAACTTGCCACACTTCCGCCTCAGGCTCCCAGGTGCTGAGATTAAGGGCAGCAACTCCCTGAGTGGCTGAACTGCTTAGGCTGGGCTAGAGTTTGCAGTCCTCCCACCTCAACCCCACTCCATCCTGGCCCTGACTCAGCAGCTGGGTTCACAGACATGTGCCACTGTGCCTGACACCTAAAGAAAAATGGGGGTGCTGCAGTAGGCTTTATTTCGAAACAAGGTCTAGCTGTTAAACTGTTAAGACTAAAATCAAACTTTTCGACCCTCCTGCCGCTGTCTCCCAAAAAGTAATTTTATATCATATTTTTAGTATGCCTACATTTTTTTCATTGTATTTTTTGGTATGAGGGATTGAACTCAGGATCTTGCACTTGTGAGGCAGGCGGCGGAAGCACTGAGCTAAATCCCCGGCCCTAGTATGCCTACATTTTGACTACCCCTCCACACAAAGTCAGTATGGAATTCTCCAATTGTATTATCATGTCACACTTAAAAAAGTTTTGGAGGGCCAGGGGTTTAGTTCAGTGGTTCCGCTGCCTGCCTCACAAGCTCAATGTCCCGAGTTCCATACCTGGTACAAAAAAAAAAAAAGTTTTGGATTTTGGATTAGGGATGCTCAACCTTCATATATCGACAAGGCAAAGGAGCTCTACAGGCTCCTTTCACATCTTACCTCCTTCCACTCTGACTTCTTCACCAGGCTCTCCTGCAAAAGCTTTCTTCGTGATAGGAAGATCACCTTGGTCTTCTTGGGAAACTAGCCCAGGCCTGAGGATGACTTTCTTCCCCCTCCTTGAAGCAGTGGCCTGGAGTTTTCCTTTACCAATGTGTACATTAGGGGAGTGGGAAGACTCCAAGGAAGTTAGGGTGATTTCCTGAGAAATGACCTCATCAACAGCTTCTAAACTTGGTAAATCTGTGTCCTGGGTGAGTATCCTAGAGCTCAAAGATGAAGCCTCCACACCAGGCAGATTTCCCACATTCTGCACAGATTGAACTTCAAATCCAACTGCTCTGCCGTGACTTGGACCCCAGGACAGTGACATTGACCCCAAATCCTTCAGCGGGTCAGATTCTGGTCTGACAGCTGACTCTTGGTCTAAGTTGTCTTCCTCCTGGCTGCTCTTATCCTGCAAGTTCTCTGTCACTGTAGTTCTTCTCTTCTTACAGGGCAACATTTTAAAAGTCCCACTTTTGTTCCATCCTAAAAGGATAAAGGCAAGTTATTTCCTTCATATAAATTAATAGTAATGACATTTACTCAATTATCTTTTCATTTTTAATTCATGAACAATCACAAACATAATATTCTATTCCTTTGGGTGGAGAATGAGAAACAATTAGAATGAGTTCAAATCCCAACTTTACTATTGACTAGTACATTATGTTGGCCAATGACCTAACCTGTCTAAGCTTGTTTCTTCAACTGTAAAAAAAAAAGAAAAAACTAATTGTTCCTACCTCAAGAATTGTTACACATATTAAATAGTAAGTTTTAGTTATCAGTTTAACTAAATCAGAGAAGGAAAACAATGTGATGCTGAGAGCAAAGTGTAAAGCCAAACTCTCTGGATTTGTTTCCCAAGTCAACGCTCCACTCTTATGACTCTGCATGAGTTACTTAACCTGAATCTGTCTCTGCAGCTATAAAATGAAATAAAAATAGCACCTACATCATTAGATAAAAAATGATCAATAGCCGGGCGTAGTAGTGCATGCCTATAATCCTAGCACTCGGGAGGCTGAGGCAGGAGGATCGCTGTGAGTTCGAGACCAGCCTGGGCTACACAGTGAGTTCTAGGTCAGTCTCAACTACATGAGACCCTGTCTCAAAAAACCAAAAAATAAAATAAAATAACTTTTTAAAAAATGACCAATAAATGTTTGTTATTGGTGTTTTCATAAAAAGGTACTCCCACTAATAAAAACCAAAACCAAAGTGGTTACTTTAGAAAGTTGGCTGTATTAACAGAAATTGTGTTGAAACAAGAAAAAGGAAATTTCTACTGTTCTCTGTATCACAACACTTCTGGATTTTGCTCCAATTATAATTATCACATTTTAAAGGCAATACTGATCTAAACTGGGTAATAATCTTCTTTTATGTTCTTAGAGGACCTGTCTGCAAACCTTTTTTTTTTTTTCCTGGTACCTGGAACCCAACTCAGTACCTTGCATGGGCACTGCGCCACTGAGCTAAATTCCCAGCCCTTGCAAACCACTTTTATAGTATAGCACTTCTCTAAGTATCTCTACTTGTCTATCTTCCTCCTTCAAAACTATGAGCCTGTTGAAATAAAGGACTCCCTCAACTGGCACCATTAGTATGTACTGTAGATATTTAACGTAGGATTCCTGAATAAATGATTGAAAGGGGACTTAGCTCAGAAGAACTGCGCCTGCCTGGCAAACACAAGGTCCGGAGTTCAACCCCCCCACACCGCAACAGGAAAAAAAAGGTGTTCGGGGAGGAGGGGCCTCAAACATTTGAACCAAGCACTAAGCATTATTTGGGGGAGGGCCGGGATTTAGCTCAGTGGCACTGCGCCTGCCTAGCAAGCGCAAGATCCTGAGTTCGATCCCCAGTACCGGAAGACAAAAAAAAAGACATTATTTGGGAACTGGTTGCATATTTCTAAGAAAACATTACTCTGGTAAATAGGTCCTAGAACAGAATAAGCTGCCTGTTATTACAGTGATTTCTCCATCACTGGCAATTTTTGAGCAAAGTCTGAGTGCCCAGGTAACGAGGTACTGGAGAAAACTTGGAGTAAGGAAAGATTCCTTGATTCCTGGATGGAGTGCTGAGTGGATAAGGAGGGAGTGAGAATAACGTAGGAGACGCCTTTATTTCACAGATGAGTTACTCAAGTCCAGAAATGGCAAAAGAGAGAAAGAAGAAAAAAAGAAAAGAAACCTACTATTGAAAAGTCAGTCGGTGGCCTGCCTTGCAAGCGCAAGGACCCGAGTTCAATCCTCGGGACCAAAAAAAAAGAAAAAAGAAAAAAAGTCAGCAAGATGAGGGAATCAGCTGCAGGCACCTCACACATAGCAGCAGCTCTAAAGAGGCCGCTCCTTTGGCGTCGGCCCAACACGGTGAGTGAATGCCCACCCCAAGCAGCGCCGGTGCGGTCTCCTCCTGAGAAAACATTTCAAAAACGGGCTCTAACTGCGCTTTCCACCTCAACGCCAAGCACTGGCCCAAGTCCGCAGTAGCAATTGAACACCGGCACACCCCTAACTCCGGGCACGCAGCCCGCACCCTCCCTCAAACCCGACCCTCTCATCCTGAACACTCTCTGCCAGGTGCCCCAGGCCACCCTGCCTCTTCCCGCCCACCACACGTTACACAGAACACTCACAAGCCGGCCAGATCGCGCGGAAACTCGCTTTCCGCACCAGCGGAAGTCAGGCAACGGCAACGATTGACGTGCGCGCCCCCGAGACGCGGTGCGTGTCAGCCGACGGCAACAAGGAACATGCGCCAAACGCTAGGCGCCATCTTCCTTTAGGGCCAAGTGAAGCCACGGCGCTAGTACGTCAGTTCGGGGCAAAAAAAATTAAAGGCATCAATTTGTTTTTTCCTCCCGTGGAGCTAACTTACTAAAAACTGGAGACTGAGATTCAGTGCTTTAGTTTGACAAATAATTATCCTCTTCGAGAGACACGTGAAATAGGTACAACAGGAGAATTTATAAAATTTCGGACAGGAATCTCCAGTTTACAAATAATGCAGGTTCCTGACTAAACCCAAGGTGGATTTGGAATCAAGCTATAGCAATTATACATATCTTGTAATAGTCTGCTTTTTTTTTTTTTTGAGGTACCGGGGATCGAACTCTGGACCTTGTACTTGCTAGGCAGGCTCGGCACCAGTGAGCTACATGCCCGGCCAGTATTCTGCATTTCACAAAATACCTTCATTTATATTAGGTGGTCTGGTCTCCACAATAAACCTTGTGGGCCAGTGGATATTATTACGTATTTCATTTTCCACTTCGCACAGAACAAAGTTGTGGCTCAGCTAGGTAGCTGACTTCACAAAGATACACCGCTATCAAGGGGAATCCGTAATTTAGCATTTTAGGTAGTTCTAGCTCCTAAGGCACTGACCTAGAGCCAGGAAGTGCTTGGGCATAGCCAAGCTTTCAATAACTCAGTTTTTCAAAGGTATGAATAACTCGTGGGACTACGTTCTTTGTACTTCCTAGAAGAACATCAAAGCTAGAAACATTCATTCGGTTCCCTCATTTTACAAGTGAACCACCAACAAATATTTCTGCATTGGAACTAATCTGACTGTAAACTGAATTCAACAGGATAAAAGTATCCACGGCCAAAATGATGGGTGAAATAAAGGTTACAATTGCCTGTAGTCTGACTCTAGCCTGAATCGCATCAACTCTTCCAAATACCAAGAAAGTCTCCAGAAGTTTGTAGTTTCATCTGCGCTCTCCTTTTGAACCTACGGAACACACAGATCTTTTGATTTGCCCCTTGTCACCTTTCCTAAGCAGCCTTAAAGCACTTGAAGCTCATGGAAGAGTCAATACTGATAAACTTCGGCTCTTTTCATTAGTCTTTTTTTTTTAAGAGTAGGAAAATTTTATTGAGAAAGATAAAGTCTAAGAGAGACAGAAGGGAGACCGTAAAGTGAATTGCCCGCCTACCTGGTTTTTCCAAGTTTTGTTTTTGTTTTCGTTTTTGGTACGGGGGATCGAACTCAGGTCCTTGAGCTTGCAAGGCAGGCGGCGAGCTAAATCCCCAGCCCATCGAAGTTTTTGTTTTTTTTGTTTTTTGGGTTTTTTTAAAGTCTTTTATTTTTAAACCGCCTTGATTCACACCATCATCTGTTTTACGTGGACAATTAAATGATTTTTAGTACATTTTCAGAGCGCAACCATCCCTGGATTTGGTTTTTATTCAGAGCTTGTGAAATGTAAAAAAAGTTTCCATAATTACCTTTAGTGGTCTCAGAAACGCCTAACAGTGATAACAGATATCGAAATCCAGGCAGTGTTGAATTGTTTTCCCAAAATCCTGGAACCCAGAACATTCTGCTCCCCTAAAAACCCGAGAAGCCGGAATCACGGGATCTATTAAAGCCCAAGTGATACTCTCCCCTACCCTTCTCTGGGCCACACCGACCCACAGCCCGTTAGTGGGCGGGGCCTCATTCTCCCAACAGGAGGCGGTGGGACGGGTCCCCTCCGAGGCTTCCGGAAAGGGCCTGCCTTCCGGAACCTTTCGGCAGAGGCGGAGTCTTTTGCCGAAGACCGTTCGGAAAAAGGCGGAGTCGGTCTCGCATCAGGACCAGTCTGACTGCACCTGCATCCTGAGCTCAGCGCGTCCCTGGAGCATCTTAAGAGAGCGCAGCTGGCAGCCAGGGACTGGACCGTCGCAGGAGACGTCCGCCAGATACCTTCCCCCACCCAGACCTAGAGACCCGCAGCTGCAGCCTCGGTACCGGCGGGGGTGGGGGGGTCCCCAGAGTTACCTGACCGTTGCGTTTAATAGCATCAGCCTCTGATTACGACATGGCCGAGATCACCAACATCCGACCTAGCTTTGGTAAGTACAGTGGGCAAACGGGGCTCGGCGTGGTCAGACTGCTGCAAAGCAAAGGGCACCGTAGTGGGCAGGGGTGAAAACGGCGGAGGGGGGCCTCGGAGTTGCAACCCCGCCGGAATGGGCCCCACGGCGGCAGGCAGCGGGCAGTGCCT